GTGTCACCATTGAGTTTCATTCACATCATGTCCAGGGTTTCATTTTGGTTAAGGGTCTTTCAGAGAAAGTGGATACAGATATGTAGCTTTTTTTCTGCTTTGTTTTGTTACTGTTAATGCTAAAGTCCCAGTAGGAAATTTTGGCACTTAGAAACTTTGTTTGTCAGACAGCAGCTTGCCTGGGGATGAATTTGACTTTTCTCCCCCATGGGAGGAATAATGTTTATTCTATAAACACCTACCAAACTCAAATGTAGCACCCTTACTAATTATTTTTTCACCGGGGAGATCTGTCCTTGCACAGCTTGAGAGGCAGTGATAATAAAAACAAATACAGAAATAAAGTCCAATTTAATATTTCTTACTTTTTTTTCCTTTCTTGGGAGGGGTGGGGTTAGAAATAACCCTTTCTTCAAGAGAAATGTAAAATTTGATTTTCAGTAGTTTAAACATAGGTGTCACGACTCTTCTGTGTCTTTAATATCCTTCTGCACTGTCTCTTTCATGTCTCTGCACTGCTTTTCTCTTTCATTCTTTCTCTTGCACCAGTGGGGAGTAGATATTGAGGACAATGAGTTTTAAAGTCCTGGGTTGCAGGGAAGACTTGTGATACATATGTATGTGCAGCAGACAAGGAAAGAATAAATAAGTGATTCATTGTCTCTGGCTAGGGATGACCTCTCTAATTCTCATCTGGGAAGATAAGGCTTTATTGAAACCCTGAAGTTACTCATTAATATCCCTCAAGGAGGTGGAAACTTTGGCTTTTCGTGCTCGTTTCGCATTTCTCGGTTTTGCCTTGGCAGGTGGGTTGGGTGTAAAGTAAATGTTTTGTTCAAAGCTGGTGACAATCCTGAAAAGCCTTGAGTTTCTTTTAAACATTTTTCTGTCCAGACATGATGTGTAGAACAATAGTTTATTGACAGGCTGGCTAATCGTAAATGCATTTGAAACAAGAATATAAGTGGATTAGGGAAATGCATTTGTGTTTTCTTCTAGAAACAAGAACATACCAAATTAATATTAAATGAGGCAGGGCAGGATGATCTGTTTCCAGCAAGAGAAGTGAAGTAGAAAATTGTCTTCTAATTGTTTTTTAAAATCCAACAATTCTGCTACTACATATGTTTCAGCATGCTATTACATGTCTTTCCTTCCTTATTTTGGTGAAGATAGGACAGAAATTCCTATCAAACTGGACTCATTGTTTACTTTAGCACAGATTCCCATTAGTTAGAATAACACACTTTTTAAAATTAAATTTCCCTTTAAAAACAATTAGCTCAAGTGGGAAGTATTATGCAGAGTTCAAAAGTTCCAAAACAATCTTACAAGAAGAAATTTCTAAGGCTTTCCTAAAAAGGAATATTGTAATATTATCCAGATTGCAAGTAGAATTAATATGAATTTCTACTACTGCTACTAATAAACAGTCTGTTCAGTAAACCGTGTGCTGTCTTTAAGTCCTGCACTGTTGATGAAGCTCTATGAATGTGACTTTAAACTAGATTGGTGTTTCTGCCATCTCTACATGTATAAATAAATATGAACACATAAATAACAAAGTAATTTAAGATAATTTTTTTATTTGTTATAATAATGGAAGGATAAATTACTATTTATATTTAATGTTTCTCGTGGTTTACTGTTGCAGGTGATGGTTTTCATTTGATGAGAAGTGGTGCCTGTAGGTTTTGGGTGTACATATATATGCATCAGAAAGGGCACTGCATCTCATAATTGGCATAAAAGCCATGACAATTTAGAATTCTCTGTAAATTGAGAACAAATTGCTCCATGTTAACTGTACTGATGAAATTGAGATTGTCTTTCACAAGTGAAGGTAGGCATGTGCCTACATTAACAAACCTCAAATTTTTCTGAAGACTTGGTGAGTTAATGGAATATGGCTCTGCTGTGACAAACTAACTTTGTTGCTATATTAGTTTGTAGTTTGACATGTGAAAACCTAAAACAATATTTTTTTGAAGTTGTTTAATGCCTATCAAACATACCTTTGCATATATAGTTCCTGCAGTGGTTAAAAAACATATTTATAAGTCAGTAGTGTTAAGGTATGTGTTTATATGTCACAGAGCCTATATAAAATATGAAAACAGAAGCCATATTCATTGACAGAGTGAGAGCTCTCAAGACTATTAGTGTTAACACCCAGCCAGTAAATTTTACATGTTCAGGAACATAAATAAAAAGGATACTCAGAAATACTTGTGCCTCATTTTTCGTTTTGGCTGGGGAGTAAAGATGTGGTGCTAGTAACTGTGTGGTGGTAATAGTCCCCATGGGAGAGGCTGTAAATTGCCTCTGGTCCTCAATGGGACCTGATCCTGTATCAGAGCCAGGCTTGGAAGAACTCAGCATCCCTCACAGGGCTAGGCCTTTGTGGAGCTCTGAGATAGTACTTTTTGTTTTTTGTTTTTGTTTTTTTTTGCAGTGGACCATTATAACTGTGATTATAATAGTGATGAGAAGAGTCTGATACATCCTCCAAGGTGGGATGTAGCCCTTCTAGGAAAGTATGTGCTATCCAGAGAAGTTGTGACTGCCCAATCCCTGGAAGAGCTGAAGACCAGGTTGGACAGGGCTTGGAGAAACCTGGGATAGTGGAGGGTGTCAGGGCGTAGAACAAAAGGATCAGTAAAGGTCCCTTCCAACCCAAACCACTTTACAATTCTGTGAAACTCAACAAGAATGTTTGGTTTTTCAGGGGTGAGAGACTACGCTGAGAGTTCCATCTGCATCGGTGTTCCAGTGTAAAAGGTTAGGTTTGCTTTGTAAGCAGCTGTGGGAGAACAGAGGCTGAAGCCTTGGTCCCATCAGAATCATTCACAGGATTGTGTGCACTGAGGGGCCTTTTTGGAGGAAAAAGGTGGTAGGTTTAGTACAAAGAAAAGAGTGATTTTTTTGGAACTGTTCAATTTATTACATATAATTTGTTGGTACTTCTGGAGTTTCTAGGTAACAGATGAGTTTAATACAATACCATTTCCTTCTATGTTAATAAGCATGGCTAACCCAATAGGGTTTTACTCATCTCCTCATATAGGATTTATAAGAGACCTACCTCAAATAGTTCAAACCTTTTGGAGTCTTTAGAAGTAATTAGACTGTGGGTTGCATGGGTAGATTGTGGCTTGTTTATTGGTGTTTTGAGCAGTGCTAGTTGCATCAGTTTTGCTCTGTGTGTTCATAGATAACATGATTCCACAAACAGCCAGGTGTTTGAAGATGATTGATACTTCAGCACATATAATCCATTCAGAGAGCTTGTGCATCTCTGTGCACTCAGTAAAATAACTTTTTTTTGCACCATCTGCCGATGCAGTGTCATTGCCAGCAGTGCTGGCTGAGTCAGCCCTGGCCTGTGCCATTCATTTCTGCATCTGTGCCATACCCTGTCAATCCATCTTTTGTAAGTGCTTAACAGTTTGCAGGGTCAGGTTGAGAAAAATCTCTGTGAGCTGGCTGGGGAACACTCCCTCTGTTTGAACCTTTTGCAGATTTGTTGTCTGTCTTTTAACTGGATCAGGGAGCTGAAGTGTTTCAGTGCATAGTCCGCCAGACTGTTGAGGAAGAAGAGAGCGGGAAACATGGTACGCTGGAATTGGTGCCAAAAAAAATGTATTATTAAATCATTGCGTAAAATTTTCCTGTTTTGCACAATATTTAAGAATGCAGGGACAACACCAGGAAAAGGAAAAGACAATTGAAAAGCATACATTGTAACTGATCACGTCAGTGGTGAGTGAAGTTTTAGCTCTTGTGGTTGTGGAGGAAAACATGAAAAAGTCAGAACCAGATGCTAAGTTAAAAGGTCTTTACTTCATAGGCTTAAAAATCAGGAGGATTTACAATACACTGTAGGTTTTGGAAGAAGGAACTCATGTTCTAGGATTTGTGGACATTTGTTGTTACCAGAGCTGCCATTTCCAGTACTTAAAGTGATTTGTTGACTTTGCCCTTTGGGCTGTCCCATGACTGATGGGACAGGGCCAGTAGAGTGGGAAATGCAAGCAGGTAACCTGCCAGGTCACAGACTGTGGTGTCCAGGGCATGGTGAAGCCTATGTTCTTCTACTTTAATCTGAGTTTTTAGTAAGCTTTTAAATAATATTAAGTATTTTTTCTTTTTTGAGAAGCTTAACAAAAAGGCATGTTTTTTCTGGATTTGAGTGTTTCTGCTAGATGTGTGCCATTACTAACTGAGCTCAAGAAACTCGTCAAGTTGCAATTACTTAAATCTGAACTGGAAGTACACTCAGTCACGTACATTCTTGGTCTCGCTCTGTTGAAATCAGGAGGGTAATTTGAGGAGAGGGATTACCATTCATTGCCTGTAACGTGAATGGCAGGATGTGCTGTTCAGAAAGCCAGGAAGGTTCAGCGAGGGATCACCGTGCAGCTCGCACTTGGCTGCTGGCTGGGGGACATGGCTGATTCTACTCTTAGCCTTGTACAGCTCTCAGAGCCCTGTTTTCTCCCTCTGCTTGGCAGATCTCAAGGTGCCAAGTGGCTCTTCCATGAGTGAGAGGGTTGCTGGAAAATTCCCTGTTAGGCAGAACTGCTGTGGAAGCTGTTGCTCTTTCACCTGTTTTATGCCAACATTTGGACAACATTGTCCTGGAAAGTGACTTTGTGACATTCATCTGTGGGGCAGACCTCACTCAGAATCCTCCAGCCATCACTGCCAGCTCTGTCCTGTCTCCCTTCAGACAATAGAGTTTTATTAAGAAAAAAATGCTGCTTGCTGCAAGTAGCTCTCTTTTCCCCCATTTGGTCTTGAAATTTGCTGAAATGCTGCTGTGGTATGTGATTGTGGCTGAAGTTTGCAGGAGGGTGGATCCTCTGCGGGGCAGCTGCTCCCAATTCCTTGAAGGCATAGGAAGGTGGTGCTGCTGCTGCTTCTGCAGTCACCTTGCTTGATATTTGCACCTGTGGCCATTTTCACTTCTGAGGCCGTGGCAAAGTGAGAGGTTTTAAAATGGAGTGAGGCTCTTCTGGGCCCTTGGAGCACCTCTCTCCCTTGTCTGCTCAGAATATCAGCTTGTTTCGGGGGTAAGAGCTCTTGCATTTTCCAAAGTATGCTGCAGCTTCCCTAAAGTTCTTTTTCCCATGACTGAGGGATTGCATGATTTTCTCATTGGGTGAAAAATTTAAAAGGAATAATTGCTTTCATTGATTAAAAGAGTAGTTACCAGGACTTCAAAAAAGATGACTAAAAAAATGGATATTCAGTGCTTTTAAAAGTCCACATCACTAATTTCTTGATATTAAGAATAGCAATGTTGAATGTTTGTCTCTAAAGAACTTTTCCTTTTTGGATTTCTAGTGCTTAAAGAAAGGCTAAATAAAATGAAATGTTTTTCTCCTTTTGAAAAATTTAAATCTCAAACCTTATTAGCACACAGAGATGGATTTAAGTTTTGTAAGATTTTGTTTTCAAAGATGCCACATGTGGTACAGTAAGTGTTGCCTGAAGAAAGCTGAGATTAAGCTAAATCAGAGGGTTTTGTTGAGAATAGTATTGTTATTGTATTCTCAAATACAATTCTTTTACATTTATATTTTGCATAATGTTTTTCTGAGACCTAAAGAGAAACTGTACTAGCAGATGAGAATCAGAAATAGTATTTTTTTCTTAGAAATGAGTTGTACATATTTTAAAGTGTGTGAATGTCTATGCATATTTTATGGATGAGATTTCTGATGATGTAAACCTAAAGGTAAAGCAAGAATTCTGTAAACGAAAATTGGCCTAATTTTTTATTTATGTATGGACAATTAACATCAGCTGAGCAACATTAGGTAATTGCAGTGAGACTGTTGCGACAATTTTTAAAAGAACACATTTTTTTCCCACTGAATCTCCTAAAGATACCCCATGGTGCGTTCCCCACAGTACATTTCAAACAATACTAAGCAGGTATTTCTCAATGGTGAAACTGTGATATTGCGCTTTTTTTTTTCTTCCCAGTCTTTGTCTATTTTGGCTATTTGAATATAGGTGTCTGGGATTGGCAGGTGCCTCATACCCTGGCTGGTTCCTGCTGTAGTGGGGTTCTGCTGTACCACAAAAGTTTCTTGTTTGCTACTGTAATAAAATGAGTGTGAATTGTGAGCAGGCTGTTTTTGCTGTCTAGAATAAAACTGAATGACTTTGTTACCCATTTCCAGGGATGGGCATTACTAATAGACTGCTTTAAAAAAAAAAATAAATTGAAACTTGCCAAGTGGATTCCAACTTCTTTATCAAAATACTAAGGGTGTGTAGGTTTCTTCCATAAATATGAATGTCTGTTTGTCTTGGTTGGAAAAGATGGGTGTTTGCTAAGGAAGGTAGGAGCTTCCCTTGAAATGGAAAATGTAAACCCCTCTCCCTCTGAATTATTATAATTTTGAAATTAAAGAGCTCTCAGGCAAAGATATGGGAGTAGGAATAACAGTTCTTTACTAGTATGTATAAGTAAAAAAAACCCCGAACCTACAATTTAACAATTTAATAAAATAAAATGCAGTAGTACAAAAAACACTGACAGAGCCAGAATACAACTTGACACCCTGTTGGTCAGGGTGTTGGTAGCAGTCTGATTAAGTGGTGGCTGCAGTCCTCCTGGAGTGACAGATGTGGTTCTGTTGAATCAGTGCTCCTGTAAAAGGGTGTGGTTTTCCTCTGAAGGTCCAGTGGTGGTATAGAACAGTCTGGTCTTCCTCTGGGAATCCAGTAGAGAAAGGCTGACTGTGGTATTCTGAGTGTCAGATTATATCCAGGTAGGAATGTTTGGCTCCTCCTTCTGGGTGGAGTATCTCACAATGGGGTGATGTAATTTTATCAGTCATGCAGTGAGATTTGATGGCCCATTAACAGAAGATCTCCCCCTGGAGGGAGGATGGGTCATAGAAGAAGTAAAGAACACTGCCACACTTGGTTTTAACAGATAATAGAATACATACTTTTGGTTACATCTTGCATTGCAACCTAAGACACTGTTTCAGCAGTGAACAAAAAAGAAAAGGGATTATTTTTGGCCTTTAAAGGAGGGAAAGAAATATTTCTGGATGACAGTATAAGATCTTCATTCTAGTAATCCTTGGGTTTCAATTTCACTGTGCTTTAACCATTTCCAAGTGCTTTATGATCAGTATTTTTGTATGTGTCACATCAACGTAGATTAGACATCTTTGCCACTGTTGGTTCATGCTTAGTTTGCAGTTCTTTTTTAGTTGATGTGTGCATCTATTGTTCACTCTGGAGGGCCTAAGGTTGAACACCAAGGATCAGTTGTGCCTTGCCCTGATGCTCCTGATAAATCACTGATGGGAGCTGGAGCAGAAATTATTTTCCTTTGCTTTGTCTGCTAGGCTGCATCTTCCCTCCTGGTTTTGATGGCTATTAATTTTCTTAATGGTTGTAAATGTCATTAAAAATCAGTGGAAGCGTGGGAGAGTGACTGACAGCAGAACGTGGCCCAGAGTGTCGTGCTCTTCTTACTACCCTTCAATCTTCCTGCAAAGAAAATATCTGCCGGGGAGCCAGGTGCCAATCAGTTCAAGTCTTTGCTTTCTGCAGCGTGTGTGCTTTGTGTATTCTCCTAATAGTCACTTCTGACAACCTACCACTTTGCTCTTGCTTCAGAGGCTGTTAAGACTGAATTCAGAAATAAAGCGTAAGTCAGGGAAACCTTGACTGTACTGAAATTTTCAGATGAGAATGAGCTTGCAAAATCATCAAAGAAGCAGGGTGTTTAGATTCCTTTTTGTGAAAAGATTTGCAGTTCTCTCTCCCTTCTCAAACCTTGGATTTACTATAAAAACTTCTTCATGTTGAGGTAATAAAAATTTAGGAATCCCTTGAGAAGAATATGATTGCAGAGGCATCTTAAAACACCATGTTTCTCTCTGGTACGATGTAAGCTGTAAGAAGGTAGGAAACTGAAAGTAGAACTTTATGTGGACTCTTAAATAGAGGATCTGTGAGCCAGTGGTGTATGATAATGCCGTTCTGCAGATCTTTTTTCTTGTGGCCATGCAGTTATTGTTGCTGGGGATCTGAGTGTTGCATTGTTTCTGGCAGCTTGCAGGGGTGGTTGCACAAGGAGAGATTTCTTTGCCTTGGCTGTTGACGCCAGGCAGGGCACTGTATGTCAGTGATGGAGAGTTGTGAGCGTGTGCCTGCCTCGGATGCTCTGGCTCCACAACGCTCTGATGATTGCTGTGGTGTTCTGTCATCTGAGCAACTTGCTCGGTATCTTGCCTTTGAGAAGGAAGGTGGGAGGAGGGGAACGAAACTGTGGAAGGCCCAGTGATTCTTGAAGAACATCATTTACTTTTGCAGCAGAGATTTCCATCTCCTTTGCTGGACTGTGTTGAATGAGATTCATCTGTGTCCTTGTCTTTCTGCTCAGCAATGGAATACCTGTAGTTTGAATACCTGTTGATTCCTCGTGGAAGATTAATCATGTTCAATGAAGCAGTTGTGTTCCTTATCCACAGGAATGTAGAACAGAGACATTTATTTGGCTGTCTGGAGGAAGAGAAAGCAATGCCATGTCACAGATGTTGTTCAATCATTGTTTAAACCAGAAGAAAATCCATGCAATTGCTGTAAACTACTGCCTTTAGTAAATAGGTTATAGTAGCGCAATTATTGAATTGGAAAAGGAGCTTCAGCTTATTCTTTCAGTACAGGAACACTGGTAATTCTTCAGATGTTCCTTACTAAAGGACTATCCACTCCAGCTGTGTAATAAGGGCTTGAAGCAATATTCCCTATCATGTTTGTTATGAAATGCAGCCCCTATATGGAAGTGAAGAGTGCTGATGAAAGATATTATGAATTAGTTTAGTATTTCTTTCTACTCTTCGTGGTTTGTTCAGATCCTCCAGTTTTTTTCTTCCTTCTGTTTTCGAGGGTTTTTGTCAATGCTGTTGTGGTGACTTTTGAGAAAAGATTTTTAATTTTTAACTAAAAAGTAGCCTGACATCCAGAGCCATGAAGCAGGCTCTTCCTCTCCCAGAGGAGCAGATGGTTTGAGTTGTATCTTGGCACTGAAAATCCCATCTACTTTGCAATCAAATAATGTGGACATTAAAGCAAACGTAAAACTTGTGTTGCCACAGAACTTTGTTACTGAAGGTGAAAGTAGGGACATGGTCAACATGCCTTGTCTGACTGAAAACACATTTCCTAAGGTTGGATAATTCATCTTTTGTGATTGCCGTGAATGAAACAGGAAATAAAACAGGAAAAGCTTGAAATTAAATGAAATGTGCAGGGCTGGACATGCACTTTGGTATTAAATATTGACATACTCCTTCCAGGTAAGCACTTTACCTTTGCAGCCCAGCATTTGCCCTGAAGATTGCGATGTCTTCTTTCTGTGGTGTTGATGGTGAAAAGTTTGTTGACACCAAGAAATATTTCTAGTGGCTTCTTTCCTAACACTAAGGTACGCTACTTTCAGTGCTATGTCACTGCCTCCCTTGAAATTATTCTCCTGATTTATTGTAAGTTATTCTCAGTGGTGTTTACCCAAATACAGGAGCAGGTTGTAACTGCACCTCTGTTGCTCTGTGCCTGTGGATTGGAGTGTTGGTTGGTCAGTTTTAAACCTGGGATGAGTTGGGATTGAGGCAGCACTGTCTGCATAATCAATGTATTGTTTGTTTGTGGTGCTATAGCATAGCCTGAATGGGCTTGATGGAGGAAGAGAAGGAAAGGAGGTGATGAGAGGAAAGAATTAAATCAGCTTCAGGCTAGAGGTCGGATGGATCTGTGTGCTCCAGCTGAAAAGGGAAGTGTTGGAGCCTGTGATTGCTTGTGACTGGGACGTTTTGACTCAGTGATAGCCCACAGTGTGTGAGGCCTGTGCCGTTGTACCTTTCCTTTTGAGCACAGTTAAAAAATTACGGGAATGTTTATGTTTGGTGGGTTATGTGTTTCCTAATGCCTCTTCATTTATCATAGCCGCTTTAATTGAGATAAAGATGTAGTGCTGTGTAACATTATCTAGGTTTAACGTCAAGGGTTTGGGAGGTTGTGTCTCTACTTGTCAGAT